TTTTTGGCGAAGGCAGGTCTAACCCTTCCGAAGATACGGGACAAAAAGTGCCAAAAATGGTAACTCCGTTTTTAAGAGAACGGAGCGTCCGGTTTTAATAATTCAAAAAACATTTTACTTGTATTAACAAGATGAAGAACTGATCAAAGTAAAAAAATGCCATTTGACGGTCAAAAACGATCATTAGACATATGCACATCAAATTATTAGATATTTTATAGAGATTTTGACAATAAGTAGGTATAAATTTTGTTTACATTCTTCTGGGTCCCGTATCAATGTTTAAGCGTTAGACGGCGACGCGGCGCTTACGCGCTTCTATATATCGTCTTTATGCAGTTAAAGCAGTACGATTGCTTTGAAAAAAAGTTCAGAATTTCCAAAATATGTCAAACTAAAGAAAAATTTTTTTTTCAAAAAAAGTAATTTTTTGTCAAATTTATAGTTTCTCAAAAATCTAATTATTTCGAAGTAAATTTTTTTCAACAATGTTAATCTCTTTAAAAAAATAATAATTTTTGGTACGGGAAGTTCCAGCAATTTGCCTTAAGGCACGATGCCATGCACCCCACTAGTTCATTCGATATCTTAGCAGCGCAATTTACTCTATGATTGACGACTATACTCGTCACGAGCTCGATTCGGGCAATCATACTTAACTGGATTTTTTTATTTTTTTTAATTTTTTTTTAATTATTTTTCAACAGCGATTAGAACCTTACGTCCTATGAGCTGTTGGGCTGAAACTTCTCCTTCCTTCGTATTTTTTTAGATGGTAACCCAATGGTTAATCCATCCATATTTGATGATTTTGTTATTAGAATCAATCTAATAGGGCTGACATTTTATTGGTGCAGCAATGCCGGGCAAGGGTTATTTTCACTTGGAAACATATTGCTATCTATATTTAACTGGAAAAATTCAATAATTTTTTCCACCCATTCTTCAGAGATTCCGACCTGTTATGGTGCATCGATGTCACGTGCATTTTAGAATGTCACTTAATGACCTCTCAGTTGCAGCATTGGTGATAGGTTACACGTTGCAAGGTACCTGCACGCTATTTTATACGTTAAACGTGAAAACGTTAAATACGTACCTACAACATGTACATGTACATACATACTATAGATAAGTCCCCGGTACGTTATGATATTCATCCCGTATGTGATTTACTAGAGGTCGCCCATAAGGTCGAGGGCTCAGGCATTTGGTGTGGATTACGAACGGGCTCGAATCGAATAGATTTATTTGATTTATATATATATATATATATATATATATATTATATTTGTTTATGTTGCACAATTACTAAATTTTGAATGCCCCAAAGAATTGGTTTGATGCTCCTTGAGGCAAATTGCTGGTACTTCTTGTACCAAAAAAAAATTTAAGAAATTTTGAAAACTTTGTATGGGGAAATCAAGCAGGCTAGTGATTGTAAAAAAAAACAATTGGATTTGTCATATTTTGATATCATTAATTTTTATAATCAATAAATTTTATATATTTTTATACAAGTGGTGTTTATACTTTCGTATACATCCCACATGTGTGGGGAAATCAAGCAGGCTAGTGATTGTAAAAAAAAACAATTGGATTTGTCATATTTTGATATAATTAATTTTTATAATCAATAAATTTTATATATTTTCATACAAGTGGAGTTTATACTTTCATATACATTACTACTCCCATTACTGCTCCCACATTTTCCCAGATTTTTGAGAATTTAATTTTTTGAAAAAAAAAGCTTTTTTGTTTTTTTATATATTTTGATTTTTTTTCAAATTTTAAATAATTTTTTCAAAACAATTGCACTGAGTACCTATTTTTAAAGCGCATAAGTGCCGTGTCGCTGTAGCACGGATAAACATTGATACTGAACCTATAGAAATGTGAACAAATTTGCATTTATGAGTGAAATATCTATAAAATATCTGATAATTTAATGTGCATGTGTCTAATGATCATGTGTCTAATGATCATGTTTGACCACCAAATATAGTTTTTTTTTTTACTTTTTTCACTCGATCTCTAAAACCGCTAGACCTGCCTTTCCAAATATTTAATCAGTTCTTCATTTTGTCAATACAAGTAAAATGTTTTTTTTTGAATTATTGAAATCGGACGCTCCGTTCTCTCAAAAACTGAATAAGAATTTTTAGAAATATTTTTACCCCATATTTTCGAAACGACCGGACAAGAAACTGGCAGGAAACTAATCAGCACAGCACGTCTTCTTATCAAAAGGAATCGAAAGTGTTTTTAAATCATTCAAATCGGTTGATCCGTATTTTCGAAATCCATAACCCAAATTTGTATCCTCACATACATACAAGCACACACACATACATACATACATCACATATACATACACACACACATCAAAGGTATGTCAAAATGTTCAGAAACCTTTAAAACGTAAAGATACACAAACATTTTCATTTTAGATTTTTTTGCAATTACTATAACTCACCATACGGGAAGTTAAAAACAATAAATATTAGTGATTAAAACTATTTAATGTAAATATTATGCAAAATACACTAAAAATGTGAATAGCAAAATACCGTATCATAAATGAAATCCATAATTAATGGGATTATATGCCTAGACAATATACTAATATATGTATAATAATATTATTATTCATTTATTTTTTTGTCATTGTTATTAAACTCATTGTCAAAAATATTAATTAATCACTTAACATATTGAATTTATTATTAAAATAATGAGTTTATATACCATTTATATCACAATATAGAAATATTTACATATATTTACAGATATTTACAGATATTTTATAGATATTATAATAATAGGAACAAATTCTGTTAAATTTTTTTAGGGTTCCGTACCAAGATTTTTAATTTTTAAAGTTCACTTACAGTATGAGTATAATATAATCTCATACAACTCAAACAATTTTCAAAATCATAAGAATTTTTTTTTTTTAATTTTCAAAAATATACAAAAATATAAATTTACTTTTCAGTTTAAAAATGTATATATTTCATATGCGTTATTATAATCGTAACAAATATATCTTCAGCTTGATTCATGCAGCAACTCTCGTTAATGTAAACATTTTCAAGTGTTTTGAGCGACAAGCTAGTCACTGTATATTAAATTCACGAACACATTTATAGTAACTATAACTTTGAAAATATTTAAAACAACTGTTATTAATTATTATATTTTCTGCTCGAATATTTAATTCTTATAAGTTTCAGCAAATTACTTTAAGGCACGATGCCACGCACCACTAGTTCTTATAAATATTAGACAATGTTACATTATTTATAATAATCTAATTTGTTTGAAAACATTTAATATTCCTGGAACATTTCGTTGCGGTACGGAAAGTTCCAGCAATTTTCCTTAAGGCACGATGCCGCACACAACTAGTTTATATGGTACTTATATATTGATATTTTGCACAATTATTGCGAAACACCACAAATAATGCATTAAATAGAGGAACTATTTAATATAACTCTTCCAACTAATATCCAAAAAATAAATTTACAAGCCCTGTATACATTCATTAGAAATAATAAAATAAGTAAAATATTATATGAAACAAGTGTCAATGTATAATTAGAGAATGCCCAATATACCAGATTAGGAGTTCAATAAATAATAAAAAACAAACTTCTTAAACCTAATATTATCTAAAATCCACATTATCCTAAAATAAAATCGATAATTTAAATGCGATTGTTTTTTTTTCGATTAAATTTCTGGATCATTCCATTTTGCCATATAAACAAATTCCTATTTACATATTATATTTGTACAGTATCGGCTTACTGTGTGTGCGTTAATTATTTACATTAATGAAAATATTTTGAGGATTTATTATTTTGATAAAAAATCGAAAATCCATGCATTTTTCAATTTATTTATTAAATACGTACGAAAACATTCATTTTCATCCATTCTGGATCAGTCCATTGTGTACGGCATAAATAAATTTCTATATGTGCATAATCGTTAATCACTCACTTTGATAGAAATAATTTAAGCACTTTTCTTTTATCTATGAATTTAACAATTTATTCTTGAATAAATTATTAGTAGTACAAGCATTATATTTTCAATTTATTTATTAAATTACATTAAAAAAAATAGTTCTTTGAGTTCTGGATCAGTCCATTTTGCCCAATAGAAATGTTCCGATCTATCTATAATATCGGCTTAATCAAATTGTGTGTATAAATTTTAATTATTTATGTGAAAGACTTATAAAGTAATTAATTAATAATTATTTATTTTATTATTTATGTGAAAGACATAAAGTAATTAATAAATAATTTAATAATTTATTATATGAATTTAATATTAGTAGTTTATAATTACATTTCCAATTTATTTAAAATATTACGTGCAAAAACAATTAATTATTTTAATTCTGGATCAGTCCATTTTGCCGTTAAACAAGTTTCTATCTATATTAATCATTAATCGCATCTGTGCTGTATTAGCTTAAACAAAGCATATGTGCGTGAGCCCTAATCATTTTACTTTATTTAATCAATTTACTTTGAGTTAAATAATTTGATGATGCATATTCTGGATAAAATATTATTACTTTGAGCGTTATATTTTCAATTTATTTATTATTATTTATATATAAGGTTTTGTCAAATAGTTGAGTGTCCTTGATCGAGCGTGCCGAAAAACCATCGTGTGCCCGCACCCTTATGCGTTCTGATTGGTCCGCGCCGACTAAAAGGCGATCAGTTGTGGTTTGCATTTCGTGTTGAACGCATATAGTTCGGAGTGATCTCGTTTCAAGAAATTTGTTCGAGAAATTTATTTGTTTTGAGAAATTTATTTATTATTAGTTATGTAAAAGGTTTTGTGAAATAATTGATTATCAAGTGTCCTCACCGAGTGTGCCGAAAATCCATCGTGTGCCCGCACCCTTATGCGTTTTGATTGGTCCGCGCCGGCGAAAAGGCGATCAGTTGCGGTTCGCATTTCGTGTTGAACGCATCTAGTTCGCAGTGATCTCGTTTCGAGAAATTTGTTTCGAAGTTTTTGCTTATCGTAGTCGATTGATAATTTAGATAATCGGTAGTGTTATTATTCGTGATTCGTTTAACAAAAGGAACTAGTTCTACAAACGCCTGGAGGTAATTATGTGATAATAATAAACATTATATTAGTGACTATGACTAAAACCATTGTGCCGCCATTTTATAGTGTACCAGGTGTATAGAAGTACGCCGTGTAGGCTGTTCAGCTTTTGCTGGTTGATTGCTGGAAGCAAGAAATCCTTTTCTGGATTATTAATTCAAGTTTTCTTCTCAATATTACTGTGATATACAACGTATTAGAAAAATGGTCGATAGAGAGGAGATTATCGCCGATTTGCGAGCCGTGCTGATTTCGAGAAAGGAAATGGCGACCGTGGTGAACCTCAACCGTGACTTTAAGGAGCTTCATGGGACCTACATACCGTTCAGAAGACTAGGATATTCCAATGTGGAAGATTTTCTTCGAAGTGATCCGACTTTTGTGATTAATGGCCATGGGAGTGAAGCGTTCGTTACTGTTGTGCCGAAAAAAGAATCTAAGCATATTAGTGATATGATAGCTAAGCAGAAGACCTCGCGAAAAAGATCAGCTCCCGTATTGCCGCCTAGAAGTTTAAACGCGCGTTCAATGCATATGACCCATGCAAATACACCACCCAGGACTTACTTTTCCAATATAGGACAGAATAGAACTTCACGGTCAGCCCAACAATATTGCAAGAAACCTGCTACTCAACATTGGTATCCACCAATTAATAACGTTACGGGCCAATTTAATTTCATGCAGAACCAGAATCAATCTTTGGTACAACCAAGACCTTCTACTTCGCAGGTGCAACCGCTAATTTCAAGATTGAATAGCCAGATGCAACCGCTAATTTCAAGATCTAATAGCCAGGTGCAACCGCCAATTTCAAGATCTAATAGCCAAGTGCAACCGCTAATTTCAAGATCTAATAGCCAGATGCAATCGCAATTGAACACAATGAGATCCGGACATATGACATTTGCAGTATCAAAACCTGCTGTATCTACTCCTCCGGTGGAAACAACAAAACCTCCAGCTGCTCTAATACAATCCCAAGTACCAAAACCTGCTCAACCTCTGATACAATCAAAACCATTGTCTTCGCCGGTACCATCGCAAGTACCAACATCTTTGCAAGTAACAACATCTTCGCAAGTTCATCCTAAGACACAATCTGAACTATCAACACGTCTGCGTTTGGAGTCCGAATCGCAGAAGTCTGTTCAAATTCAACCAAATGTGAGTGTAAAGTCACCTTTAAAACCACAAATACAACTAAATCAAAGTTTAAAAGAAAATACAACACCGAATGTACCTCAGCTTTTGAAAGGAAATTCTCAAGCACAAGTTTTACCACCTACATCGAAAGTAGATCCCGTAACTACTTCCTCGGAATTACTCGAGAAGATGTTTGAGAAAAGACCAATGAGGATGCCAAAGGCTGCTCAGAAGGTTGAAATAGTGCCGAAGAAAAGTGATTCTTCAATGCCGTACGCATCCAATGACAATAACAATAATTTAAATACGAGATCTGTTTCTCTCAGAAGTGCCAATACCTACAGGGGCAGTTTTAGGACCTTGCAAGTTACTATGCAAACAAATCCTATTATTATCAAGACCAGTGCACAAGATAGACTGGATAAGATAAGACATAGGCAGAGTCAACGTGAAATCGACTATTCTTCGGGTAAATCAGAGATTACCAGTCCTGAAGTGAAAATGACTCCAATGCCTGGTGTAAAAGTGTCGCAACAGTCCAGGTTGTTGAAATATAAAAATCCTGATTTGAGTTCTGATCCATTGTTGGTAGCAATAACAACAATAATGAAGCCATTACACCCAAAGTAGTACTGGAAGAGTTTATTAGTTATCAAAAGCTATTGACTGATTATTGCCGAGAAAGAAATATCAGTCCACCGCATATTAGAACCGCTCTGAACGATGTTCATAAACATTTTAATATTGGTGAACGCGAAGAATCGTACGGGTGTGTTGTTAAAGTCGGGAATGTCAATAGTTTCGGCAGCTTTTGTCCAACATATACGAAACCAGAACAAGCTGCAGAGGATGCATGCAAAAAAGCTCTGCAAGCTTTAATAAAAATTTATGGCTCGGTGGAGGATAAACATTTAGCAGTCACAGACGGTAAACTTGTACCAAATCGCTTGTGGCAGCTTCTTGCAGGCCATAGTAAGGGAAAATATACTAACGTCATACCCGAAGAATATCGTGCGGAATATCGCGAAAATTTGCCCGAAGATTGGTTGGATATTGTTCGAATGTGCAAGACATTCAATATTGAGGAATCTACCCCCGGAGGTATGATTGTAAGCGTAAAAACACAACCAGATGTGCCTTTGCCTAAGCAAGATAGTGTTGACTTTGTAGATCCTCCTCCAATTGTTTTACCTCGCAAAGATACCTATTGGAATGTCCACATAACAACTGTGTGTTCAACTGTTGAAATTTGGTGCAGACTCATTGGATCGCAATATACGAATTTGTTTGATGAATTAAGTTCGTATATGAAAGATACGCTTGATGCGAGCAAAATTAAACCTGAGACTGTTTTTGTGGGAGCTTATTATGCGGTAAATGTTACAGAAACATGGTACCGGATTCAAGTACTTGAAGTTCAGGATGAAAGGGCTTTATGCTTTTTTATTGATATTGGAGGAGAAAGCTGGCACTTGCAGGTCGAGTTATACGTGTTGGATAAGAAATTTAGATATGTTTCTGCACAGGCGATACTTTTTCAACTTGCTGGATTGGAGGAGTATGCGGAAAATAAGTATGCACTGGATCTTTTGAATGAGTATATGCTAAATAAGAGCCTAATAGCAGAAGTGTTGCAGGATGAAAATGGTGAGAGTGCCGTTTTCCCTGTTATTTTGTTTGATACTTACACCGAAGAGGACGTGAATTTGAACGATTTGCTAAAGAAGAAAATTAAAGATGAGGAGAAATCGCCTAAACTCAGGGAGAAGGGCCGAATTAATGATAAAATCTTTGTGTCTTATATTTGTGACAACGGTGATGTTTACATACAAATCAGGAATGAAACTTTCACGTACTTGATGAGCCAGATTCAGCATGTTAACGATATGGGATTTTCCAATGAAGATATTGCTGATTCTGTTAAACTTTTGCATGAACGCTCATCAGACAGAATGTATTTGACGGCGAAACCAGAAGAAAATAAATGCTATAGAGTGATTGCAATAGGACCTGTCGATAAAGGTCAGGTACCTGTATATTTTGTTGATTATGGATTCACAGGTGTTGCGGATATAAGTAAGATAATAGCAACGTTTAAGGTATCTTCAGTTATTGACGAATTTCCTCACCAGGCTTTGAAAGTGACTTTGACCGGTTTCGAAGATTTCACACCGTCCTTGGTTTCGCGTCTCAGGGGATGCTTATTTAATAACAATCCTATCCTTGTTAAAGTACTAGAAAACGCTGAAGTACCTGTTGTGGAAATCTTTATGAGAACACGCGATCAGTTATTGATCAGCGTGAATAATGCCATCCAAAATGAGATGGAATTAGAAAAAAATTCTTTGGAAGAAGAATTTAATCTACTAGAAAAACGCATGAGCAGGATGTCTTTGTCTAAGGCGGGAAGTCTAACCAAAGCCTTTTCGTCATCGCTTGAACAAAAGACTTTAAAATCAAAGTCTTTGCCCGAACCACAGATTCCATGTGTAGAAAGTTATTTTCCGGTGACTGTGATAATGGCTGCTAGTCCGGAAAATTTTGTGGTGCAACCTTGCAGCAAAGACAACCAAGACTTCCGAAATATGATGAAAGAGTTACAAGTTGTATGTGATAATAATAAATCTTCTATCCCATCAAGCCAGGAAATTGAAAAAGGAAATATTTATGCTGGGAAGTATACTGATGGTATCTGGTACAGAGTGCAGGTCACTGAAATTGCAAGAGAGAATTTAGTTGTTGTTTATTTTTGCGATTATGGAGATTATGATGTGATGAAATTTGATGATTTACAGAAATTATCGCCACATTTCCTTCGAGTAGCTTATAATGCTTTAAGAGCACGATTGGGAGCAGTTAGTTTTATGAAACATGACTGGTCCACCGAAGATTGTCTTCGTTTCCAACAATTAGTTTGTAACAAAGCTTTTGTTGGCATTGTTAATAGCTTAGGATTAGTGGATTCTAATAATAACGAAAAAGTTATTTGTTTAACCTTAATTGATACAGATTCTGAAATGATGTTTATATAACACCAGAATTTTTACTTTCCAATACTGCTTAAGGTTGAATTGTAGTTAAAATATTACTCATTTGAATTAAATATTAATTTACTCTCATTAAACGGTTGTTTCATTTAATAATTTATATATTTTCTATTTTTTATGCAAACGCCAATAGAATTTATTTGGTATGTTTGTGAAATCGTTTTATGCTACTTTAACTCGATTCTTTATAATTCATTTTTTATTACCATTTATTATTTCTGCTTTTGTAATAATTCATTTACTTTTTCTTCATCAAACTGGATCTAATAATCCTTTAGGAATTAATAGTAATATTTACAAAATTCCTTTTCATCCTTATTTCTCTCTAAAAGATTTATTAGGATTTATTTTTTTATTTACAATATTAATTATATTAACTCTTATTAATCCATATATATTAAATCCTGATAATATATAACGTAAACACTTAATATAAAATTTTAATTATAAAATAATAGTTACATACTTTAGTAACAAATCTCAATGCTTGTATTATTTTGTTTTATTAACATGTTAAATATCAGAATTTTTATTACATGAGCCATGGAAACTTTATTAGATATTTTAGTTACTAAAGTAACAATTTTTTTTTTTGACAAAATTCTTGAAAAAACACTATTTTTCATGACTAACATGGTCTTATATATTTTTTTTCTCGACAAGCCAAAAAATTTTCAGGCCATTTTTCAGATATATATGACGACATGCCTCATGCAGAACTGCTTAGCGTCAGACATATATGACTGACATGGCGTTCAACGTGTTAATGCATGCATAACTGTTTTTATACGTAAGTAAATTGTCATAATATTTGTATAATCATCGACTAAGAGTAACCCTATGTTTTTGGTAATCATTAATAAATTTTTTTCAACAAAGATTAATATATTCCCAATACATTTTGGGCAAATATACTTAAACAAATACACAATTTTACATTTTGGACAAAATCATTACAAGATTTAGTGTAATTTTCATATAACATTTTTAATATCATATAAAAATTTTACACTGCATTTAATGAATATTAATCACTAATTTTATTCAAAACTAGGTGTAAGTGGCATTTTGTTTTAAGGAATGTTGCTATCTATGTTGCTTTATGCTATCTATATTGCTGTCTACGTAATTGTAATAATTAAGTTGAATTTATTTATTGTTCATTATCTTTTATTATTTTCTACTTCGTGTAGCAAAAACGTTTTATTTATATGTGCATGTCAACGGTAATCAATACCAAAACAGAAAGAAAAACACACTGAGTATGCGCGCTAGCCATAATTTCAAATTTTAGTGAACATTTATAATTAAACCACTTTTTGTTGGTGTATATAATTGAAGTGTAAGTGGCATTTTGCCTTAGGACAAGTTACATGGACTTGTATAAATAATAAATTGATATCTTTTAAATAAACTTAATTATTAGCATATATAATTTTATTAATTGAATTAAATTCATTTATAACAATTCATTCAACTTCGTGTTCTAAAAATGTGTTTTATTTATGTGTGGATGTCAACGGTAATCAGTACCAAAACTGAAATGTAAATACACTACGTATGCGCACTAGCCATCATTTCAAATTTTAGTGAACATTTATAATTAAACCACTTTTTGTTGGTCTATAATATTGAGGTGTAAGTGGCATTTTACTTTAGGACAGTTGCATGGACTTGTGCAAAATAATCAAGAATTCAGATTTAACAACTTTTAGTATCACGAAATTTTTGATTGATATTTTTTGAATAAATTCAATAAATAACATCTAGAATTGTATTAATTAAATTAAATTTATTTATAACAATTCATTCAACTTTGTGTTCTAAAAATGTATTTTATTTATGTGTGGATGTCAACGGTAATCAGTACCAAAACAGAAAGGTAAATAGCTAGCCATAATTTCAAATTTTAGTGAACATTCATAATTAAACCATTTTTGGTTAGTCTATAATATTGAAGTGTAAGTGGCATTTTACTTTAGAACAAGTTGCATGGACTTGTGCAAAATAATCAAGAATTAGAAATTTAACAACTTTTAGTATCACTAAATTTTCGATTGATTTTTTTTGAATATTTATATTTATATTAAATTCAATAAATAACATCTAGAATTGTATTAATTAAATTAAGTTTATTCATAACAATTTATCGTACTTTTAGTTCTAAAAATGTATTTTATTGAAGTGTGGACGTTAACGGTAATCAGTAGTCAAACAGAATAGAAAATACATTATTTATGCGGGCGTCACCCCGCTTTCAAATTTTAATGCATTTTTATATTTGAAACACTTTTCATAGGCCTATAATATTTTATTACTTAAAGCAAATAGCTTTTAAATGATTTGGAACCTCAATCATTTTACTTACTAAAAAACTTTTTAATGTGCATCCGTTTTTGAATTAACGAAGTCGGCGACAAGTCCAATTTTGGCACACACACATACACACATTTCAATTTCAGTGTCATGCGATTCAGAATGACTTAGAACGTTAAATTAGCAAACTTTGTTTCCTGACGAAAAAATCGTATAAATTATAATATTTGTACGATTTTCTGGCATAAAACGTAAACAGAATTCAAAGCTATTTTTATTATGCTTTTTGAATAAAAGAAAATTTAAAGTTGGCCTAAACTTAAAAGTATACGAGTACATTCTGGGGCCAATTCTCAGATAAAATGAATATGCCATGGTATTGCTATTTTACATATTGATAACACATACGTGAAGTTAGGTTTCAGCAAATACATTGTTTGTTGACAGTTTGTTACTGCCAATTCATACGAATATAGACCCGTAACAGAACATTTTACTTTTTTCCTAGAATTTGCCTTTATTTCTTTTTCAAGTCAAGTCATTGGGCTAAAATTTATGTATTTGCTATGCGATCAGGCGTTTTACATAAAAAACCTAACCTACAAAATACACAAACGTAAAATAACAATGTATCATAAGTGCATCTTCCTCATGTGATATTGATAACACGTACGTAAAGTTAGGTTTTAGCAAATGCAGTGCTTGTTAACAGTTTGTTACTACTACCAATTCATAGGAATATAGACCCGTAACGACATTTCGCTTTTATCCTAGAATTTGCCTTTTTTTTTTTTTTTCAAGCATAGACATTGAACAAAAATTTATGTATTTGCATGCGATCGGGATACACAAACACCTAACCTACAAAATGCACAAACATGAAATAACAATTTATCATAAGTGCATCTTTCTGAGCTTGTTGACAGTTTGTTACTACCAATTCATACGAATATAGACCCGTAACAGAACATTTAACTTTTATCCCAGAACTTGTTTTTCTCTCATTTTTCCAAGTTAAGTTATTCGACAGTGTTGTATCAGGCGTATTTAAGCATGTTTTGCATGGATTTTTTTGAAGTTTTTTTTTAAATGTTATTAAATATATTTTATTATTCCGATATACCACTGAATTTTGCAATTTTTTTTTAATGTCGGTCCTCGGAAGACGAAGTGATATATACTGACGAAGGAAAGTTAGTGGCGAACAACTGTTACTAATGAAGTTGTTTGCTACGCTCTTCAATTTGCACGCAAACTGAACTCATGTCCGATTTAAACTGGTCGGATGTAATTAGTTTTGCGGTGAATGTGATAATAAATCCATATGGTGTATAATGAGATTCAACATAGATAATTAATTATTTTGTAATTAATTATCTAAATTTTTGTAGACTTCAATTTTAAAACCAAGCGTATCCACAAAGCACATACAACTTAGTAAGAGTATAAATTTTATCGCATAAATTAATTAATTTTATTATATATAGTTAAGGACTGTTGAAATAGTGAATAGTTGGCGACATATTTCGTATTTTCTTCACTTAACATTTTGGGCAAATACTAGGTGTAAGTAGCATTTTGCCATTAAATTTTGAATACTACTCAGCGCGATTTCCAAATGATTTTTTAACACTAGATTTACGAACCCGAGTCAATTTGCTTTATGCCCATATACATATAAAACTACATAAGTTTTTGCATGAGCCAAATGGGCTTACTTCAGTAAAAATAGGTATATATAAACGGTTAATATAAACCTAAAATCAGGGTGAAGGTTACTATAATTCATAATGGGCTGTAACTTGGCCAAAAATACAATTATGAAAGAAATCTCAAAAGTCCTCATCGATCCGTTGCGAGCAAAAAAATGGCACAAGGACAAAAGTAAGAAAAATTGCCCTTTTTCGATTTTTTTCTAATGGTCAGTTTTGTCGCGAAATTACCTGAGATAATATTGATGCATTTTTGTAGATAATTTTATGCTCTACAGTGACAAATTTTGGTTCCACACAAACTTTTACCGATTTTTTTGGCGATAAAGGATTCAGAATGACATGATACGTCATTCTGAATACATGGTTTGGATTTT